TAAATTTTTTTTTTTTTTTTTTTTTTCTTTAGAAGAGAAATCCCAGAAATAGTCACATGAGTTCTCATGTTTGGATTTCTGTTTCTTCAGACTGATTATGAGGGACAAGCAAAAAAGCTGCTGGAACTGATGGAAAACACAGATCTGATCATTATTGCAGGAGGAGATGGCACAGTACAAGAGGTACTGCAGGAGATGTGTCCTGCTTTGCTGAGAATCATAGTTAGGCTGAGGGTGAGAGGATTGAGTCTGTGTAATGTAGCAACATCATAACAGCTATTACTGGAGATTTGTCCATTTTAGCACCTGTATTTTCAGTCAACGTTATAATCTTCTGGGGATAAGAAAACTCTGCTAGTTGTTATTAGTCTAAAAGTGATGATGGGAGATGGGAGTGGGGGCAAAATGAGTGTGTGACATAATTGTGTTCCAGAATTTTATTTTAGAATGAGAAATTTATTTGGGGACACGTGATTCTAATTTTTTCTTTCTGTGTAATACTGCTGTAATAGTTTAATTTTCAAAGTTCTTTCCTATCTGTACTCCCCAAGGGGAATGCATGGTTTGCTGAGTGGGAATCAAATAATTTAAAAATTACATGGGAGTGATAACAAAGCATTGTATGTATTTAATAAATGGCTATTGTCAAGATGATTAACGACGGGAGCAAACTGCCAGCAGAACTGGGGGATACTCTATTTTCCAAGGAAGGTTGTATTTTATTAAAGCATTTCCTGGAATGCTAACTACTGGCTTCATAAGGCAATGGCTAAATGAAATGCAATGACCTTTATAGAAACTGGTCAGAATACGTTTGCAAGTTTCTCCTGGCCTTAGAGGTGATTATTGTTAATTGCATGCTGACCTGTGCTATTTTTGCATTATGCAGAGCATTATTCAGTGTTAAAACATTTACACTGGCGTTGGCTGTGGTGCCAGCGTATGCGCATGGGCAATCATAACCCTGCTATTCCCACCATGTCTACTCACTGAACGTGCCTCCTTTCCCCTGTAAGCAACTGCAGCACCTTCCACGAAAGAGTAGCTGCTCCTTAAATCTTTTCCAAGCAGCAAATGTGGGTTTGAATTTCATAGCTTTCTACTGTAACTGAAAAACAAAATTCTCAGAGCTGAGTGTTTTCCATGTTTTTCAGGTCATAACCGGGCTCCTCCGCAGAGCAGATGAGGTGAGGAATTGTGATTATTTTATTTCTTTTTACTTCTTAAAAAAAAATTGTTTATTTTGTAGAAGAAGTGTCTTGTGCATCCACTGTGATCTCTTGGCCTCAGTTGTCTTCTACAGATACGTTACTTACCAATCTGGAGCCAGCTTCCTGCATAATAAGTCAGCCGTGCTGGTGTCCCGCAATTCCGCCCCTGGGTCTTCCCTCCCTTTCTCAGGGAGTGCAGTGGCTCCCAAGGCACGGCTTTGGGAAGTTTCCAGCCTCGGAGCAGGGATTGTGGAGAAGCCAAATGCACAACTTTCAAAGGCCCGGGGACCAGCTGTGTACGCTGCTTTGTTTGGCAGAAGCATCAGGCGAAAATACATGTTTTTCTTGTATTTGTACAAGCTTGAAACCGAATCCAGCCATGGCCGTGCTCCTACTGCTGTCTGGTTGCTTTGCCATTTTTTCAAGCGGTGAATGCCTACCTATGCAGATGGCTGCAGAAAGCAGATTTTAACCTCTCAAGGTGGATCGCTCTGAATGGAAATGAGAGAGATTTTTCTTTTTAAAGAGGGAGGACAGTGTTATTGAAGAAAGGAGGGAATCATTGTTTCCAAAACCTTCTGGCAGGAGCTGGCAAAAACTCAATTAAATGATCCAGACGAGATTATGATGATATCCTTGGCAGCTGGAATTGTATCTGTTTAGGCAGTTGCTTTGTCTGAATGTGACAAGAGAAACTCTGCAACCAAGCCAGTATTTTTATAGGGATGCTGGCTGTATCAGTTCTGAGACATCAATTTTTTAAAATTTATTAATATTATTATAGTTGGCCCCTGAGACCTCTATAATCTAAAGATACTGGAAGAAAAGTTTTAGAGGCTTTACTGGCTGGTTTTTTTTTTCCTCTGTTTTTTGACTTACTGTCTTGATGTAGCTCGGGTTGCCTTGCAGCAGCGCAGAAAATTCTGCATCCAGGGCTATTTTGGGTGGAATACTGCATTGTAGCATCACCACTGTGACACTTTATGTCTTTAGCCAGGGAATTCTTTTTGTCCTTCATACTGTTTTGTCCCAAGAGTAGAGATCTGCAGTTCAGCCCCCTCACTCTTTTCTCTTGGGTACGTCGTACTGCTCTTGCCTGGATGGGAAGAGCCTGTGCGAGGTACTCCAGAAATGCTGTTCCCAGCAGCCAGGGGAGCAGAGCGTGACTGCGTGAGCTGCAAACAGCCTGGTGTCTGCAGCCTGTGCAACAATCCTGAAGAAAACGAGAGAAGGGGGTTGTTTGAGACGTGTTCAGGCTTGCAGGTGACACAGAGACAGCGAGGGAGAGCGGGTGGGCATGAAGTGAGAGGGGTTATCGTTTCGGCGGCGTGGTTTTGCAGCATCACGGTGCCGGTAGCTGCAGCGCCCAGGAGGGAGATGGTACATTGTGATATAGGGTGGTTTACATTGATTTGCTGACGCGCTTCAAGAAGCACAGTTTATTATGAGGTAGAGTGTAATAACTTGCTCCTTCAACAAGCCCTTTTGCTCAACTGTGGTACAGAAAAATAGCACGGTCAAATGACTTCCAAAAATTAGACCTTCTGCTGCTTCGTGATTTGGATGCCAGAGGAATCAATTAATTTCTTTTCCTTAACTGAGAAAATCTCTTTGCCATGCAAGGTTACTCTATCAGAGGGGGATTTCTGCAGTGGTAAATGAGATTCAGAGCTTGTGATGCCACCGTCAGTATTAAGAAAGATGGCAGATTGCTGACAGAATCCATGCATTAGTTAGGACGTGGCTGCCAACCTGCATGTAACAATGCTCTTAATGATTACAGAGAGCTCCTTTGTACCCAGTTGGCAGTGGAGGCTTCACAGATTTGGATGCCATGTTCTGAGTCATTATGTATTACTGCCTCATTTAAGGAAGTGCCTGGCTGCTTGGTGCCAAAGGGGTGATATCAGACACAGCTGTGATCTCCACGCAGGAAGCTCCGTTCAGCTGATGCAAATGTTAATTTACTCTCCTCATGTGTCCAGGCTGTCTTCAGTAAGATTCCTATAGGATTCATACCTCTTGGGAAGACCTGCACTCTGAGCAACACGCTCTACCCTGAGAGCACAAACCAAGTGCAGTAAGTATTACGTGTTTCTGAAAGGGGGCTTTTTTGGTTGGTTTTCAAGGAGCAGTGCTTCTCAGGAGCTTGATACTTCTCTTTTTCTTCTGTGTTACATTGAAGTTGGCAGTCTCTGGGCAGACCCTGATGATTCTCTGGACTTGCCTGAGCTAGTATCTTCCAAAACCTGACTAAAATTAAAAGAATGAAATATATGTAGTATTAGAACATGAAATAATTTGCTGTGGGTAATTTCTCTGTGATATTGTGATGCTCAGAGTTTTGTTTTGTTTTTTATTTTAAAAAAAAAAAGGCTTAAAAGGATCAAACCTATTAGGAATAGTCAGAATATGACAAGGATATAGCAAGGATATGACAAAATAAAACAGAAAAAAAAAAAGTCCTCTTTCTGTCCCCTATTCAGTTTAAGAATTGTAGAAACCAGTCCATGTATAATTTGGTTAGGACCTGCAAAGTAAGGCATACAAGAATATTTTTTTATGGGAAAGGTTGGGTCCCGTTACTGACTTCTGCAGGGTTTCTCGCCAGTCCCCGTGATGGGATTGATGCTGGCAACTCTCCAACAACCTGAGTCTTATCTGTCAGCATCCTGGATATAATCCAGTCTGGCAGTATCTGTTGCCTGCATTTCTATTTGTTGTAAGTTTGTTTTGTCCCCTTCTGAAGTAAAAAGGCAAGTCAACTATGCTTTCTTTTCCCCACACTTCATTTCTATTAATTTTTTTTCCTTCCTCTCCTGCCATCCTAATGAATATATTTCTCCTTGCTCCTGGAATCTGTTCACTTTGGTTCTCCCAGTAACTCATTAACATTCTTCTTTGCGGAACCCTTACTGGTATCCATCATACATGAAACCCACGAGCCAACTGGCATAACATCCTTCATTAAAACTACCAGAGTGCTTTGAAGCTCAGCAAGATGGACAAGGCTGTAATCAGCAGCTAAGATTAAAATAATAATTTATGTTTGGGTTCTAGAAAGGCTGTTTGAAATGAATGATCATCTTGTCCCAAGGTAATGAACTGTGCAGGTGAGACTGCAGCATATTGGTGAAGTTGAAAGGAATTTGGTCAATAGGCTGCTTAACAACCCACACCAGTAACAGAACCTGACTTAAGAAGTACAGAAGTGATATTTTAAAAAGAAATATTTGGGCTTTAGTTCCTTTGGCACTATCAGATCTTGCCTTTGGAGTGTAGGAACTGTAGAGGTCTTATAGAAAGATAAGAGTAGGAGAAAGAAGGGCTGAGGGAAGAACAGCTTCCTTCTCTGACTCAGTATTCTAAGCCTGATGAAGCCAAAGGCAATTTTTCCTGCTGATTCACCTGAATATTGGGCTGGATCTGAAAACTGCATTTGCTTTTAGGTTTGGGTTTTTTTTCCTGTCCAGCTGAGATGCTGGAAATGTGTGCAATGTGAATTTAAATTTTACCCAACTTTGAAAACAAGGAAGGAGTTTTAATGAAATATATGCTTCAAGGTCTGAACATAGAGAATTCTTTATAGAACGCTTTGGTTACAAAATCTTTAATGCCATGCTTTATGACTTGAAATGAGAAAGTGCCTTAGCTACTGTCCATAACTTAATGGAGACTAAAATCACGTGAGCACTGCTGATAGGTAGATTTATGGTGATTAGAAACTTCAAAACAAATTAACATACTAAGGCAATTCAGTTCCAGACACATGAATTGAGACTAGTCTCGTGACCATCCCCTTCTCTCCCAGGTTGTTACACTTGCCACCAATAAAATACAACCATGATTTGGGTCCTTAGTGTGTGAAGTACCCGAAACAGCAAGTGACAGAGTTGCTGGGTAATCTGCCAGACTAGCTGAAGGAGGAGGAATCTCTGAAAATCGTAGGCTAAGAACTTCCTTTTGCTTTTCAGGTCTTTTGCTGTTTGTTAGAACACAGGCTTTGTCATGTGTTGCAGCCACCCACTTTGCTTTCTGATTTCAAGGAACTGCAGCACTTTGTCACAGTTCTTTCCCTGGGATTGTTCTATTTGCTGGAAAAAAAATGCCCCACCTGGAGTGGGGTCTGCTGAAAAAAAAAAAGTGTAATTTTAAACCTTTTACTTCCTTCCTGTTTCTTTTCCTTTCCTTCTTTCCTGTTTGTTTTGCAGACATATCACCAATGCTACATTGGCCATTTTGAAGGGAGAGACAGTTCCGCTTGATGTCTTGCAGATCAAGGTAAAAGCATCTGTTTATTTGGCACCCAACGTTCCTAAAACTTTCCTTTTCTCACCTCGTTCTGTTTACATGGGTGGGCTGCTTTTCCTCTGTGTAACGCTGTAATTAATTTTGGTTTATGATGTCAGCAGTTCTGGTGGCAGTCATTTCTCCACCGTATGCTGTGACATCAGATAGCCTAAACTGGAGAAAACACTAGAATGCCTGAACATCTTTTTTTTGAGGCTCATAGAGTTTTGATGAATACAAAACTTACAAACACCGATATTTCTGTAGAAATGGTGAGAGATAAGAATAGCTGTCTGAGCTGATTTAATGCATTCATATGTATTGTGGAGTTAATAGCTGTCTTTTACAAACTGAAAAATGTGAACTGGGAAAAACCTTTGACTACGCCCCCTATAGTTTTTGAATATAATTTTTCAAATGTTCAAATGTTGTAGAATGGGTATTTCTGCAGCAAGAACTCAGTGTCACTGTGGAGAGCTCCTTGCTTTTGGCTGACAGTACCTACAAAATGAAATGGCTACTGCTGGGTGTACAGTCAAACTCAATTAACCTCTTCTCTTTCTGTCTGGAAGCAGATGAAATGTCTAAGGAACTCTGCTTAGCTTTATTGCAGTTAGCTATTTATCATACCTCTTCTGTGAAATTTCACTTTTGGAATTAATCAGAAGTCAGTTTTTATATAGAAACGGTATTTTTCTAGCTGCAAAAAACCCCACAGTTGACACAAGATAAGAGAAAGCAATTTTGCAATGTTTATTTTTCTTTATAGGGAGAAAAGGAACAGCCTGTGTTTGCAGTGACTGGTTTAAGATGGGGATCTTACAGAGACGCAGGAGTTAAAGCTAGCAAGTAAGAAAATACTGGTTTTTGAAACACTACCTTTTTTTAGCATCTGTTGCCTAAAAAGACTTACTTCCTTCCTGTAAATAAGTCTTTTTTGAGTGTAGGCATTTGACAGGCAGAGGCACCCACACTTGTTAGGTTTTCAGTTACACACATGGGAGTGTAAGACATATCAGCATTTTTGTCATTTGAAATGAACACTTACTTGGTGCTGACCTCTTCTTTGAAGTATTTACTTCCAGCTTCCCTTGTGGTGCCCACTTCTGGAACTTTATTCGGATTGTATCGGTGGGAAAATATCTCCCTTGAGTAAAGTCTAAGTAAAGTAATTGGCCATTGTTTTTCATCAGTTGCCAATGAAAAGACGTACGCAGACTCTGTAACTCGATTCCAACAAGGGACATCAGATGCAGTAGAAATGCCCTTCAATTCCTGCCAGAAATGGCATGGACCGTGCCATCTGATGACTGTTCTCTGAATGCTAAACTAATAATTGTTGGGCTTTCTCCAAATGGACATTTAATATGCCACTCTCTGTGTATCAAATGACTAGCATTATCTGGTGAAGGAGCAGCGGGGCCAAAGCAGTTCACTCCTCAGACCGTTATGGAGGAACTGCAGCACATCCCTCTGCTGCACAGCTATAAAGAAATAGCGTGTGTTTTGGGAATGAGATGTCTTTGTCAGGAAGCAAGAGGTAGCAGACCTCTGGAGTCTGACTGTCAGATATTTGAGTAGGATTGAGAGGTGAATCCTGCTTTAGCAGGGGAGTTGGACTAGATGATCTCTAGAGGTCCTTCCAACCCCGACAATTCCGTGATTCTGTGATACAGAATGGAGGAGAAGCAGTAAATGGGCTGGGTGTTTGTCCCTGGGAAGCAAGGGACATGCTTGGTAGTTTCTGTAGGCGCTGACTTGGTTGTGCTGCAGGCTCTCCTGCTAATTGCAGCCCCAAGATGAAGGAAGTGCACTTCTCTCCCCTCCGCACTCTCACTGGGCTTCCAGCATGTGCCCTGTTTTTTGCCTGGTGTCAGCCTTCACATCTTTTCCTGCAGCAGTTCCCTTTCCCCAGAGTCGTTTGGACTCAGTGCTGGAGGGTTGATAGCATCCTTTGTATTTGGGGCAGCGTGAACATTTTCAAACCTCATTCTCTTCCATGAATGTTTTTGAATGCACAGAAAATGTACAGCTTGGAAAGCTGTACAGCTTGGAAAACACTTCAGCCACAACAAATGGGTGCTCAGAATGTGCTTGGGGCAAAGGACCATGTGTGCTTGTCCTGTTTTTACCCTTCTCCCTAAGCATCCACTTTGGTTCCTATCAGAGATGGGTTTTTGGACTAAATGAACATTTGGTGTATTCCCATACAACTGATCTTAGATTTAAAAGAAGGCACCTACTATGAAGGGAATCAAGCCATAAGCTTGGGTTCGGGAAATCTGTCTGGCTATCCCTCTGCTGAGCACTGTCCTGGTGGAGACATGGTGCTGTTTTGTGTTTTTGAAGTTTTATTATTTTACAGACAATTTCACGACTTGATGGGAGTGGTGTGGCAGTTGCACGCCTTAGTGGTTAATGATACACTTAAATCTGCAGTACTCTTGAGCTGATGGTGTTTAATGTGCTTTGTTGACCTTCTTTGGTGGAAGATAGTGATCAAAATGTGTGCCAAGCCTGCCTAAATATAGTCACATCTTTAAATTCTATACAAGGCTTTATGGTTGGCAGGATTTTTATTTTGTAAAACATTTATTTTGATCTGAGAATCCTCTGGGGCAAATCGATGTTTGCTGGCTCTGTTCTTTTGTCACTGAAGCTGTAGATTTTGGCTTGTTTGTTTGTTTCCTCCAACCTCATTCTTTATTGCATATTGTGAAGTTGTATCCCACCAGCTGTTAGACCACAGACCTTTAAATCATTCCCAGTTGTGTCACATAACTAGGTAAAATTCCACTACTGAGATGTCATGCTGCCTGTAGCGAAGATTGTATACTGGATTTTTGTGATCTGCAACTCAGGAAAGGGATGTCACTGCTAAGCTGCTGGTGATGTGTAGAAACTATCTCACAGTATCACAAAGCTAAATGGTGTAGGGGAGCACTAACTTCAGTGGCAAACAAGTCTGTGTGCTCTGACTCCATGCAAGATTCCTCTCTTTTCCAGTATTGACCCCTGGATATCTTAGAAGTTCTATCTGTGATCTTTTTTCAGGTACTGGTACCTCGGGCCTCTGAAAACCAAAGCAGCTCACTTTTTCAGTACGTTTAAGGTAAAGAGTAATTTCAGGGGAAGTGGTTTTGTAGCTGGGAAATGAAAAGGCTGACAATGCTTTGTATTATTTGTCTGCAAGTTTTTGTGAAGGTTTCTGGTAACAATATAAAATGAGAGTGAATCTCGACTTGTTATAAAAAAACCTACCAACTGATAGACTTAACATCTGAAAACGTGAAGGGGAGGAAGAATACTTAAAAAAAATTCTTTACTGAGGATCTGTTGCTGCAAGATCACCAGGGGGAGCCAGTAACCACCTTTGAAACTGGAGAGCAGCAGCAGTGCTGAAGATAACCGTTGAAGTGCTCTGTCACCTTTTTTCAACAGTCTTCCTAATGATAACATTTCATTCTGATTTATTCATCTGGCAGGAGTGTCTGTAATTAGACTGCTCATGCACGGTGATAATCAGGCTTCCATGTGTAGTAAAATGAACATGAAGATTAATAGCTTATCTCACCTTAAACTTCTGTGTTGATTAAAATTGATCTTGGAAAGATTAAAATTTGACCTGCGTGAAAGGTGAGGCGTTTTTATTCACATGGTTTTCCTGTCCTCTGAACGTATAAGGAGCCTCCTGGAAGTCTGTGGAAATACCCAGGAGCTGGTATGGTAGATCGGATTGTACAGTCCATGCTGTCTGTGACAGTGCCAGTGCTTCCTTTATAGGAAGCTCCTGTCAAGGGGAGTTAAAAGTTAAATTGTAATGTGGCCATGAAAGATTTTTTTATATTTTTTTTTTTTCCCCCCATCCCCAGGAAATTTGAGCTGATGATTCTGTGTGCTGGAATTGTAGTTAGAAACCTATTCTACCCCCTTTCTCATTCTTGCTGCGTCCTTTGCCTCACGTAGTGGCAGTGATGGTGGATTCCACTCGTGGGCTATTCATTACACATCAAAAAGATCTGTTTAACCTGCTGAATGTTACAGACAAGTGCCCACTTTTTCTGCTATTAAGACAGAAAGGTTTCTACCTGATCTCCCCTAATTGTGGTATTCATTGCTTTATGTGCTTCTTATGTTATCATTTTGTTAATTTTCATAAGAAATTATGGCTCCAGCCTGTTGAGCTTAAGACCTGCCTGGCTTGTCTTTGCTGATGTGCACTTCATGTTTTCTGGTTTTGCCGTAGTTGTCCCTTGAAACAGGGTGACCTGTTGCTGAAAACAAGCGTACAGGGAATGAGCTCACCTCTGATAGTGGTAGGGATATTGTTATGAGTGTTGTCATCTCTTCTAAAATATACAGGCATTATCACAGCATTGCTGCTTTTTCCTTTAATCATTAATACTGGCTGTTTGTGTATTGACCTACTCATACAACAGCCGTTTGTCCTGTCTATGATGTAAGTGTGATAGTGAAGTCTTTCCTTGCTCTCAGAGCTGCGAGGTGAATTAGCTTAACAACCTGTGCTGTATGATCCAAAACTACTTCTGAAGTCTTGTGCATAGAAAAATAATCACATTGAGTACATGTGGGATCTTGGCTGGAGTGTTCTAGTATATACATTTAAAAAATAATCATATTATTCCCTCCATAAGTCCTATGTTTTGAGCTTTTCAGAAATTATTTTTTAAAATGAGAGGGAATCAACTTTGTCAGCATCTGGAAGTATTTCAAGAACTAAGGTTCTTCTGTAGCCCATCAGTTTCTGGCACTGGAATTTGAAATATCACCGAGAGTAATGTATTACTCTTATTATTTTTTTTATTTTTTTTTTATCCCCTCAGATGCTTTGTAAAGCTCACCTGACTTGCCTTAAGACCTGTTGTATTGCTGTCTAGAAGCACCTGACTATCAGGTCAGATCTCAGATTGTTTGAGTTGTTGGAGATCAAAGGCCTGCCAGGTTTTAGTGCCCCTTGGCTGCACACAGCCCTGTCGTCTTTGCCTGTTTGCGCTAGACCCCGCTGTGCAGTTGCTCTTTGAGGTTGCCTTTGTGCTGTCCAGGAACCAATTGTGCTTTCAAACGTTAGTGTTGACATTGCTGGTTTGGGTTGTTCCCTCCAGCCACCTACCACGCATCAGCGGCATGGAAAACATCCCTTCACCCTCCACTTATAGAGATGAAAATTCCTCACTCCTGTGTGGGGAAGGAGTAAATTAGTAGGCTTGGGAACTGTGGGTAATCTTTTCCAAGCTGTAAAAACGTCATCTCACGTATGTATCTGAAGGCTGGAGAGCAGTAAGGTAGGCTGAGGCAGTGGTGGGGTCTGGGTAGCTCTGAAGGAGTACTTGGGAGCACAAAATAAATAGTTTGAAGAAGTAAGCAGAATAAACGTGAAGGTGCTCAACAAAAAGCCCTTTTTTTTGTGTGTTTCCTTTCCATGTAAATCCAAGGAATGGCCTCAGAAACGTCAAGGTGCTCTCATGTATCTGGGTCCAACCGAGCGGCCTCCAGAAGAGCCAGAGGAGAAACCTTCCAGACCTCCTTTGTATGTGAGGCTTTACAGACGGCTTCGGTTGTACTGGGCGTCTCGTCCAAAAGGTGAGGCGTGTGTATTTTGGCATAAGCTCACAGGCAGGCTTTGCTCCTCTAATACATCAGAGGAGGTGGGTGGGGTTTTTCTTTACCTTTCTGCTTGCTCATTTTTATATTATGATTTATTGAAACTGTGACTTGGTCAAGATAGTTACGGCGATACCTGCCAAAAATAGGACAGAGTGCTCCTCTCGGTGCTTGTGGTCTCATAAACGAAAATGTATTTGTCAGGGTGTTCCTTGGGCTCACAGTTGCTTGCCATTTCTATGGAAGCCTCCATAGGTGACACTTGGCTCTTATGGGGGAGCTTCTTGAAATCTTTCTTCTGTAGAACGGCTTCTTAGTGGGCTGGCGAGAGAGGAGCAGCCCTTGGTTTTTATATGCGGGGGCAGCTGCTGATGCAGAGTGACAAATGTTACTTAAAATAGAACAATAAAACTTGGGCCATGCAGAAGCTTTAAGTTTCTCCTAGTACATTAAATTTCTTTCTGTACCATAAATTTTATTCTGTGTGCTCGGCGAGCCTCTCTTGGGTTGGGTTGTTAGCTAGGCACTGCACGTGGCAGACTGCAGAAGGAACATGTATTTTTGCACAATCTGGAGTGATGCAAAGTCCTTCTCATTCCTTCTGGGCTTGTAGAGGGGCTTTAGACTTAGAGGCGTGGAGTAAGTGACCTGTATATGAGAACTGAACCCCGGGGTTTCCTGCTATAGAAAATACATGTTAGCACTGCACCCTGAACACCGGATTACTGGGTTTTTTTGGTAGCAGTGCTTCCTGTTTTCTAAATGTTCCTGTAATACTAACCCCAGAGATCTGGTAGTCCCTGGGCATAGGGACTCACAGGGCTGCCATGTAACGTGTTTGATAGTCTTTCCTGCTACTGTGGAAACATTAGTGGTATTTTTTTTTCTTTCCTTCAGTACTCTGAAACTCCCTTTTCCTTTTTTAAGATTTTGACGTTTGAAGGAAACAAAGCTAGTGGTCACAATGGGTCAGAGTGGTTTTTGCAGTCTGATATTTCATGCTTCATGGCAGTGAAATGATGATTTGTGTAATTAAATTGCACTTAATGATGTCTTCTCTTCTGGATTCACAGAAATCCCCCAGGAGGTGGCCCCGGAGGACTGGGAGGAACTGAAGCTATCCACCATTGAACTTTCCATTGCAACGCGGAACAGGCAGCTTGATCTGATGGTGAGACTATAGTATAACTGGATTCCAAATGCTGCCCACCCACACAGTTTTAATTTCTTGCTAAAACCCTATTTTTGTGTCTGTATAGTTAAAACGTACTACCCCATACAAGGAGGGGCACATGGACTGAATCCAGGAATGGGCAAGTTTCAGGCCATTGTAAAAGCACTGGAGGCCCATGTAAAACTGGGATGCAGTAGGATTGGGAAGAATTTGCTAATCAGAAGGTTTCACTAGCCAAACAGAAGGTTTAAGATTGCCCAGGAGAAAAACAAGGCATCAACACAGGCACTCCTTTCCTTTGTGACCCATGGGAGAGTGATCCTGTTTTATCAGCTGGTGCTTGGAAGGAAGCTCTGAGCCTGGAATTGTGGCTTTTTCTCTGTCTCTTGGCTGGCAGAGCAAAGGGTTAAAAAGAACTGGCCTAAGAGGAAAGATGGGCTACAATGAGGACAGGAAATGCAGGTGTTTGTGGAAGAGTAGAACCAAGGGAACTGTTCCTGTCACAACCTTCTCAACATGCTCTTGTTGTTCATTCACTGTTTTAAAACCCATCTTTGGCTTAGGTCTGCGTTCCTCTGCAGCTTTATTACTGTGAAAGCTATTTGGGTAGGTGTCAGTCTTTTAATTTTACTGGGAAATGCTAACACAGTGATCCTGTCCTGGTGAGCTGCCTTCCATGCCTGCCTTACGGCTGCAGGAAAGCACTGCCAGTACACCCAGATCAGCCAGAGGCATTGGACTTACTGCAGGGTGGATCTGGTTCAGAATTCGACATCTTAAGGAACCTGACAATTTGTGTTATATTCATATGTTATCCTTGGAGGATCAGTCAAAAAAAACAAAACAGGCAAATCTAAACTTAAAATTTCCTCCTCTTTTCTCCTTAGAATGAAACACGTGAATTTTAGTTTCTTCTTTGTCAGTGGCTTATGATTTGGACGACCAGCGTCCTAGTAATGGGAGAGGCTAGACAGAGACTAGTAGTTGTTTTTTAGTGGTTTCTAGATGGCACGAGAATAGAACAGTTTTGGTTGGTGAACTGGATTGGAGTCAGTGATGTAAAGTAAAAACAGACCTACGAAGAACTAAAAAAGTATCTCATTGCCACAGACTAGCTCCTTTGTCCTTTTTCTTTCCCCCTTGCCCCCATCCGTTATTCCTTCAAGATGCACTTTAATATCAGTGTTGAACAAAGAAATGATGTCAGGTTCTTGGGTCTCTGACATAGCCTGGAGAAATGGACAAGTTTATGTTAGGGCAGTTGTACTTTTCTGTTTCAAGAAGTGGAAGTATCTTGATACTGCATCTTTTGTTCTACAGATATTTTTTTCTACTCCTTTTGGCTGCTTTTAACTTCTGCTCTTGAAGCTGTTGTCCATGTAGCCATCAAAGCTGAACAGCAGTTCCCTCAAATCGATAGCAGGGCATATCTGCAGGGTATTGTCAGCCACTCCTGTCTTTCTGCCTCACCTCACATTCATGCCCAGGCTGCCCTGTTGAAGAGAAGCTGATAAAGCTGTACAGGTGCAGCTCAGACAGTGCCAAGCCTTGCCTCTGCAGATACAGTAAAGAAATAAAACAAGTTATATGAGTTTTTTATTGCATTTATATGCATTTATTTTTTTCCGTTTGTCATTTTGATTGCATCTGCACTAGGACTTATGCCAGGACTGAAATGTTAAAATAAATAAATGAAATATATAAATAAAGAATGAATTGCATGTTAAAGTTGCTTTCCTGGCAAAAGCCTTCCTGTATACTTGGTTTAAGGGCAGGCTGTAAATAGAAAAGCAGCTAAGTAAGGAGTTTAAAGGAGTGATACCAAGAACACTTTGACTTCCAATTTGTATTGTTTTGAATTTCCTTAATGTAATGTTTGGTGGCCCGATGTTGCATCATTGTACTGTTGCTTAAAGTCACAAAAGACCTATTGATTAGAAATCTATGTGAACGGAAGTAAACTCAAGTGATCTGCTATTAATGCCTTTAAGTGTGTGAAATGTAAGAAACAGCCAAACGTGTGAATCGTTATTTCACTTCTTGCAGTATTTGTTGGTGAATGCTACTGTTGAATAATAATCAATGAGAAATAGCTACCTATAATTTATAATCCAAATCTCAAACTGAGAGTGGAAAAAAGCATGAAATGCCTCTTCTGCCTCCTTTTTGTGGGACAAAGGATTGGGCATTTTGTGAACATATTGCAGTATCACGGGTGTGGCATTTTGAAGTGTTAACTGCTTCATTTCTGAATCTCTTTGCGTAGCGCACTGAAGACTTCATGGATATTTGCGTTGAAGCAGACACTGTCAGCAAAGGAGAGTTTGTAAACAGAGGGTGAGTATGGGAAGGTTGCAAAAAGATGACAGAATCTGTGAGCCAGAACACTAATTCTGAGAAGTCTGCTGGTTTTCCTCTGATCTCGTGCTGCAAAATTCAGAAGCAGAGGACTGCAAAGGGCACCAGTCAGTAATGCTTCATGAGGGTTTCTGATTTTGTTCTTTAAAATTCTTACTAATTTTCTCTTTCTGGAAAGAAGGCAGAGCAGCCTGCCTGGAGTTATTTTAGCTTCTGAGTTTGCTATACCTTTCATCTTTTTCCCCATTGCTGTTGATCGGTGCTGCTCGGATGATACTGTGATAACTGAGTCACACAGACAGCTACACAGACTTATCATACAGACTTATCCCCAGGCTCTTTTAGCCCTGGCTGCTCAGTGGATTGAGAGGTGGGTCACCGAGCTGATATGTTTGTAGTAATGGTACCTGGGATTTTTGAACTCTGATTAGACAGGCCCTGCTTCTAAGTGGAGGCCTTCCTTGACTCAATACCTCTTGTGAGAAATTAGGTCTGAGCTGGAAGAACTTCTGGAAGATGAGAATTTAAACAGGGACTTTTATTAGTGCTGCTTGCATGTGGAGTAAGAAGGCTGCAGGCATGAAGCAGCAGCACATAAAGAGTGAACATATTGCTTCCTTTGTGCTTGGAATGTTGTCTTGTGCTGTGTTTGTTCCTCCTGCTCTCAGCAGATGCAAATCTGAGCTGCTTTTTCCAGCTTTTTCATACAGTCCCACTAGGAAATACATTGCATCTTCAGTGCAGTTTTTTACCAGCAACAGATTTTCCTACTAAACCTGAAAGTTGCCTTTTGCATGTTACCATTTTGTTTGCTTACTGGTTTCTAGTCTTAGAGCTCCCTCTAGTGAAACCAACGGAAAGATTTCAAAACGTTTTGACATGTGCTTGTCATCTGCTCATATGTCTTGTTTATAATACCAAGAGCAGCAGCAGGCCCCTTATTTGAGCATCCCACGAGCCTCAACAGGTACAGGATCTTCTGACCTATGCATGCATGGTAGGTCAGTTACCTCCTGCAACTGCTTCTAAATTGCATTAGTTGTGAAGACCATAGGTTGCTTGGGACTGAAATCTTTGGTTTGAAGGCTACAAAAGGATAGGAGGGGGAGAGTTTCCCATTAAAAGCAAGAGGAATCTGGCCTCTTAAAGGAGGGAGACAAAGGAAATGCTGTGATGGGTTCTTGGATGCTTTGCTGGCAGAAAAAAGGTGGATGAATTTGTGTGATTTGAGGGAGGGGTATTGGAGTGTACACCCACTGTAAAGAGTGTCTCCCATGTGGACTGGACACGCTTCACACAGTAGCATGTCGCATTTTCTGACTGCAATTACCCTGTTATGCAGAAAAAGGCTCTGATGAGAGTTAACATGCCCTGCTGGCTAGAACTAATTAGAGGCAGTACCGAAAGCTTTGAGTTGCTGTTCAAGCAAAGTTCAAAGTAACAAGCTCTTTTGATTAAATAGTGCCCAAAATCTGTAGGTAACAAAGAAAGAGAAGGAGGGGTGTATGGGGTGGGGGGGGCAGCGGGAAAGACTGGTTAGTCCTACAGAGAGGAGTCAGAACAGAAAAAATGTGTTCTGCAGGGCAAAAATCAGGGTGTTCAGAGAAGCTCTTCACTGCACCATGCCCTTTGGCAGCTGGGTTTGAATCAGGCCCATTATTAGAGGTTCCCTATTGCCTAGCACCCATGGGGTTTGTCTTTTGAAATGTGTGAAGAAGCTTTCTTCTTTTTTTTTTTTTAATGCATAGTTTTAAACTCCACCAGAATTGGGTGCTGGGGGGTTGAAAAGATTTTTAGGGAAAATACCTTATCAGTGCAGATAGCAAGGGTGGGTTTTTTTGTATTGAAGAGGGCACTGACACAAGCTGATCAGAACTGATGGATCACACAGAGGAAACCATACTTCCAGTGGGAAACTACCATGCAGGTTCAGGAAAGGGGGGTGTGTGTGTGTCCATCAGAGTGCTGGAGGCAACTGCTGTTGGATTTCAAAGAAAGGAGTAGTTCATCCCCAGGTGTATATAAAAGTGCCCTGCGGCTGTGGATCAGATTTGTGTGAACAAGAGCATCTGCAGCAGGGGTAGAGCTGATGTTTAAGATAAGGTAGGGGAAGAGCAGGTGGTTACAGGGTAGTGCTTACTAAGAAGTGCTGGAGGGAAGGAGAGTGGGGATGGTAGGTGTAGTATCAGTAATCCACATCCTGATAGCCAGCTTAGATTCTGTATATGAAAGTATGAAGAGCTGTCACTGCAGGGCATGAATGCAGTTACCAGCTACGGCGCAGAAGACTCTTTTTTTGTTTAGAGAGTCTTGCTTTGAATCATTTCATATGGGCTGCTTCTGGGGATGAGAACTAGGTTAAAATTGTGTGTGTTATCTGCAGTAGGTGTTGTGGTGCTCTCTCTGCCTGTATTTTTGTGATTCAGCGAATGGAGAGGGATAAAACAATCAATTTGAACTGTTGCTGTTAGGCTTTGGTCTTCCTCCTGTTTCACTTTGTTGTCTTGTCTTGAGTAAGGAGCAGAATCAAATGGAAATGACTTCTGATCCTTTTATACTGGGTCACTAGAGAGGCAATCACTGCAAGTGGAGTTGTGTCTATTTGCTTCTACCAGCGTTCTCCTTTGACTGATCTTTAATCTTGTCTCTTCTGAGCTCCCCTTGACCCCATAATTGTATCTATGGAGAGCCTCGTTTACCTTCGTGGACCAAAAAATCTACTTGCTTACCCGAGTGCAATATCTAGGACCTTGTATGTCAAACTTCAAGCAGGTTAAACCTTAAGCAGGAGATTTTGCTGCTTGTTTGTACAGCGCTGTATAAACTGACAGTATTGCATGCCATCAATGATTTATAATTTATATTGCCAGGAGGTTGCTTAATTCCCTCACATTCGCTCATTAATCTTTTAGTATATACATATTTGATTAAAAACAAACTTTCCACAGTTAATCTTGCTTCTGTCCTTCCCTGCCCTTTCCTTTGGTATCTTAGTTTTTCTTCCTTTGTCTTTGATTATCATCTTCTGTTTCAACCCTCTCTTCTAATGTTCTTTCTCTGGGATTTTCTGTGGTTTTAAGCGGCGCTTGCCTTCCTTGGGGCATAGAAGGCTTGGTGTACGGGGAGTTTCTGACATGGTTTTGTGACTTCTTTTTCAGTGTTTAAATACGCTCTTCTTTTATATCAGTCTACAAAATAGGCAGAAAAGCTGGGGACAGCTGGAATTGCCTGTTGGAGTAATACATATGATAGTTTTGCTGTGCTTGAGAGCTGTGGTGATATCAATGCTGTAACTTTGTGCTCTCCCCTTTGCTGCTTGTGCATTGCTGGCTGGCTGGAGAGAGGCCCAAACTGAGGGGTTACTGCCTGGGGTGCGGCGTACCCTTTGTCAAAGGTCAGCCAAAAAGTTATGTGTGTTTTCGGTCAGGAGGCCAGAGGTAGGTCAGTGTACCCAAGAGCTCCTTGGGAAAAGGAATCGCAATGCGCTGTTCTTTAACAGTTGGTCCAGCGAGAGGACAAGAACCTAAGTCTTGAAAAAGGCCACATGGCACTTGCACAACCAGCTTTGTAAGTCAGGCAGCTGCCTTCTGTGTGCTCCCATTTGACATCCACAGAGGTAGGAAATTAGCAGTTCTGTAAGTACAGTACGTAAATTAGAATCTCACAGGCACCAGAAGAGAGAGAGTAGTTGACAAGAACAAGTATATTATTGGAGTGGGTAAAATGATGATGTTCTGGGGGGTTTCTTTACAAGAATGATACAAAAGCAGTGAGTAAGAAACTTCATGCTGACTGGCACTGATGTGAGAAGAGGGTTTTTTTGGTTGGTTTGTTTTTTAGATGGTAGTTTAGTGGTTCAGTTTAACTAATTCTATCGGGTTTTTTGGTTTAGGGTTGCTTAGGTGGCTGGTAAGTTAGGTGGGTGCATGGGACATAAGGAGATGGTAGTCATTGATTGCATTAATTGTACAGTTCAGCACGTAAATGACAAATGCAAAACTCTGCTGAGGTTTCAAATATACAAAACTGTATGTTCAAATATATTTAGTGAGCCTCCGAGCTGAAGCTGGTTGGAGGTTGTCAGTGCATACTGTTACATGTATTGACTGCAGCAGAAGAGGAAATGTCTATTTTATTTTCTCACAGTTGAACCCACAAATATTTGTGTATGCACGTAACCTCTAAGTTTACCCAATGCACAGTGACTTAGCAACCCACAAGGATGTGTCATCCCTAAAGGTGGCTGTTTCCTAGAGAATCATCTCCTTACCTTACCTCTCTTTTGCTTTGAGCAGAAGTCAAAAGATGCGTGATCCACATACGTGCCCTGAAGGGAGTCAGTGCCTCCAAGCCAGCAGATGCATCTTGCAACTTCCAGAGGTGAGAAGCTGAGGGAGTTGGGAAACTGTCAACTTTATTTCGTCATGCCAGTTCATGCTGCACATTAAGAACTCCCTGCTCCAAATCTGGGAGGTTGGTTACGCTGCCAGTGAGACTCAGTTTCTCAGTGCAGCAACTCAGTCTCTGACTAGGAGACACATACTGGAAAGTGGTCTGTAAACCAGAGGGGAAGCTTCATTCTCTGGTAAATAGTGACAGACCTTTTATCTAGGCAGGGGTGGTGGTTGTTGCATACGCGCACCTTCTTCTTCTTAGTATTGAGACTGAATTCCTCATCTGCATTTTACCCTAGAAAGGATTGTGCTGTAGAAAAGAGAAATACGAGAAGCTTTATGGAGAGCAAGGAGTGTGACACAAGGCAGTGGGGCTCAGATCACCATAGGGAAGTGTCTTGAAACTTTGAATTGATGAGACTAAAAAAGAAGCGAAAACTACGTCCACCTGTGTAGTTTAGATTAGTCTTTTGTTGCCTTTTAGAAAGAAGAGGCTGTTATTGCAGCCTCGGGGAGGACTGTTTCTTATTTTAGCAAGGACACGAAGTCAATCTCATAGATAATTTCTATCTTCAAATGACCTATCATTCAGCAAAAGACTTTCATATTCAGAGAGAATAGAACATGCAAAGGGTGAAAAAAAATCTGTGCCTACGAAGTGAAAATCATTAATAATGATGTCATGATTAGCCAGCATCCTAATACTTCCATCAAACTCGTATCATGGCAGTTTTGTGATTCTGAAAGAATACTCTGGAGTTCTGGGCTTATTACAGCTGTGCAATAAGAGCAAGCCGTGGTATAATACGAGCTCTCCTTACTGCATCTGCTGGGAAGACATTCAGAGTATGTGTGCATGGCGCAAAGCAGTGCTGTTCCATTCCTTAACCTAGCTCTCAGGAACTGGAGGCAGCTCAGATGAGTCCCACCAGCTTTGCAGAGAAGTGGGATATGTTGATCCAGGTGGACTGCTACACCTCTGACTTCCAGGACCTATGCTGCTTTCTGTAATCTGAGCTGTTGTGTACGAATGCAGCTTGGGGGTAGTTTGAGTATCCACATAACGTAGCCCTGCCTTGAATCAAGTGCATGCAAAGCAGTCACCAAATTTGTTTAGATAAAGTCAACCTGCCATTTTGATGAATGGTTTTAACCACTGGTGACTCTATCAGCGTGACAGAAAATGCTCGAGAAGATTCTGCTGCTGAGTAATCCCTGCCCCGTGAATTACTCTGCATCTCATGTGTCAGATCGATACAGTAAAACAATACCAAAAGGTGTTTGTAACGTGGATTTAACAGGGGCTATTTAACAGGCACTTCTGCAGATTAGCTTGTGTCACCACTGGCAGACCAAGATCTAAGTGCATATAATTGTACTTCCAATAGCAAAGAATCCATCAGTATAAACAACGTGGGTCATTAAAGCGTTTAATTATCACCAATTAGCAACTAAGTGAGGTAACATCTTATGCAACAGACTTAAGATATTATATGCAGTGAAGGATGGCTCTCGCTGTGCTGTTGAGACCAAATGGGCTGGAAGGCTTAGGGAGGGGGGTCATCTTGGTCAGCTCAGGACTCAGCTAAGGATTCAGCTGTAGTCTGTTAGTGACATGAGGTGTCAGTATTTCAGCGTGGCTGAAATGATCCGTTTGATGTTTAACCCTGCCCAGCACTGTTCTCTGTACGCAGGGCACCGAGGGATCCTTTGGCATTGATAATGAGGAGTATGAAGCTGTGCCCGTGGAGGTGAAGCTGCTGCCCCGCAAACTCCGCTTCTTCTGTGATCCCAGAGTGAGAGAGCAGATGCTCCGTGCAGCAGTACAATGAGAACTCATGGCAAAGGGGCCAACGTTCACCAGTCTTACTGGTGTCTCTTCAAGGCATGAGAGACTTTTCACTGACTTGATTAGCCCCACCAGACTAATAAGCCATTTGGCTGTTTTTATGCACAAGGTATTTCCAGTGGAAGTAGCTAATCTGGCTCATCTCAAAGGGGTTAACAATGCAAATGCATGTTAACTTTATGGCATCCTTTTTTTTTCCCCCAAAGAAGTCATCAGTGTTCCGTTTACAGCACTGCAGGCTGAGTGCTGTGTGCCAGATGCTACTGCTTTAATGTAATTGTATATTAAAGTAAAATGAAAGCATACTTGTCTTGTGTTTTAAGAGTTTAGGTCTACTTTACCTATGTATAAATCCTGCAAAATCTGGGATCTTGGAAAAATTAATTTTGGGAAATTAATGCGAAGGAGTTCTATGAAATGTTGGAATTGCCACATTAAAACAGGTGGGTGGTTATCTACTGCGTCACAAAATAACTTGGGAGATTGGTGATACAAAGCTTTAGAGGAAGTTTAAAAATTCCCTGCATGTATCTGGATAAGGTATTTGTGTTATTTTTTTCATCTTGCCAGATTCAACAGCACAGAGTTCCAGTTAATAATAGAGTAGAAATCTATTCCTTTGATCAAGTTTAGATATGTTACACAGAAGAGAATTGGAAAAAGTCATCATTGACCCACAGCTATATGAAGTATATATAGAAAGACTTTTTAAGAAGCCAAGTGAGTCTTTTTTTGTAAGTATTTCTTTTATTCCTGTACTAGTATAATACAAATAAGGGCATCCAAATAACATTTTTATTACTTGTGCCTGGTTGCTATTCTTTTTAATGTAAACAGTGCTCATCACTCCTTATGCAGCCTACATTCCCTGGAGCCCTGGTACTGTAATTAGTTTTGCTGCTTTTCTGAGCTTTTGTTTATAACTTGGCTTTAATTGGTGAAAGGAAATATTATTGACTTGGGCAAGGTTATCTGTTTCCCTTATAATAACTTACAAGTTTGCATGATTCTGCCTTGCTTACTGGGAGAAAAAAAAAAAATTGATCCATATTTTTGTCATGTGACTGTTGTTTGTACATAGTCCCCATATTATGCTGTGAACGACTCTTAAGTTCATCTGTTGATTCTTTGCTGTAATGAAAATAAGGGCATTAGTGAATTGACTTGAAGCAGCTTTGTTGGAATTTAAGGACTGCATCCTCATCACATGCTGCTGCAACAGCATCCTCTGCTGGAGACTTGCTAAAGCAAAAATGCTTTGAAAGGGGAAGTAGAGTTGGGTTTTCTGGGTGATGATGCCAGAGCCAAACTGAATGCTGTCCTTCCCTTGACTACACTGTGGAGAAACTAATTACCTAAGCTACTGGGGCAAGCGCTCATCCCGTTCTTGACCAAGACCTACAGGAGTAGAAGCCTGCTAGTTCTTTTTAATAGTTATGCTGGTGATAGGGCCTATATTGTGCTGTCTTCCTTCTGTCCTGCAGCAGTTAATTGGTGCCCAGTGCACCCCTGTGGTACTCTCCAGGAACATGCTGGCTGTGCTCTGCTCTTTTTGCTTGCCACAGAGACACCCCGAACGTTGCTCTGCAGCCGCTGGCTCAGTTGGAGGCGCTTCTCAGCAACTGAGTTTTTCATCAAGCTGATGCTTCTCCAATAAAATTAGCAATGCTTCTGCTCAAGTGGCAGGAAAGACAAGGCAGCAACCATTTCAAAAAGGTAAGCTTTAATTGTATCTAAAAAATACCCATGTTTTAGTAAGCAGTTTCTCTACACAGCCACAGGCCTATGGGAGCAACCACACATCTGCAAGATGCAAACAACATCAGAGCTGTTAGGACTAACAACCAGCCTGCTGCAAGGGGTGAGATGATAAGAACTAGCTTCTGGTTCATCTGTACCATTTTACAGGGAAAATGACTAATTCTCTTCCATAGTATCAGACACACAGCTCCCATTGCAATGGGATTCCTTGCTTGAGGGTAACCAAGAGCTCCCTTCAGAATTGGTCTTCTAAATGGTGCTCTGATGTTAAAATACCAAGGGTTGCCCGAGACACAGGCTGATATTTAAATACTCATATCAGCATAAGTTGAATAGCTTATATAAATACCAGTCCAGTCATTTTTCCCCTTCCTCTACAGTTCAGAGGTCTTCCAGGGTGGAGTGGTTCTGGACCTTGGAATTGCAATATTCAGAGGGGAGGTGTGAGGAAAAAGTTACATAAAATAAGCAGGGGCTGAACCCTCTATCTACAGCGTTGAGGAAAGGGCTCAGTTCTCATGATTCTGTCTGACAGTAGACAAACAGCTTTCTTTGTATGAACTCCAAGACAGGAAGCAGGAGTAAGAATCCTAGGTTCCACTCATGAAAACACTTACCCTGGCTTACTTACTGTCCATTCTAGAAGGATTTAAAATACTGTAACATAATTAAAAAGGAAGGATAACAACCTCATGATGGACCAGCCCAAGGCACCTGTTTATTTAAACCACGATTAAACATTCCCATGTGAATGGCATGTTGCATTAACCAGGACCTGAAATCCTGGTTCGTAGGCATTTAGCACCCTCTATTTTAGACAGACACGTTCTGTTAAGTCACTACATTCCAGTCCCTCACAAAAGACATGTATGTTGTCTTCTCCCATAATCACTAGACCACTAGCTTGTGCAGGGGTGGCAAGGAGGAGTGGAAAGGAGACAGCAGCTGACTGAGAATAGCTGTGATGAATCTGGGTTAGTACATGTGCTTTGTACCTAGACTTTTGCATTGGGTGCTCTGGCCCTGCTATTCCAGAAACCACTGCCTTTCCCCCTCCCAAAGCAAAGCACACCTGTCCCTTGCACAGTCTGTCACCAGGAGAGGGCCAGTGCTACTCCTAGCTTTTTGCCCAAGAACTTTGGCAGCTCTTAGAAGGAGAGAAGTACTGCAGTAGCACTGCTTAACAGAGTAAGCTGTACAGTAAGCTACTTTCCCATGAAAAGGTGATGGGACTTTCTTCTTTCCTTAAGGACGATGGATAGGTGAGCTCATCTCCTGTGACACAGGTGACCATTAGCTCTAACATACATTGCAGTAACTACTTCATATACGCTAGAAAAGAAGGTATTGGTGTGTCTCTAAGACAAGCCTGAACTCTAATTCAGTAACACGCCTTTCTCTTAATATCCATGATAGTTAGTTGTACTTGGCTCTGTGCAGCTTGGCCCTGCAGTGAGAAGACCACTGCATGATTTAAGTGTCTGGCACGGTATCCCTTGTCCAGATTGAAAACCTACCTTTTATTTCTCTCTTAAGCTTTACCCTCCAATCCAGACAGTACAAGTAGTAATAATTCATTACTTAGGTAAACGTTTCTATGCAGCTTGTGTTAAGATGCAGCTACAAAGCTCTCGCTCTCCTGTTTAAACTCAAGCAAGTCCCAACTGAGAACCTTCAATGGCTGTACTACAGCTTTGGTGTTAAGAGAGGAACGTACCAGACTGTGTCTGTCAGGGCACGGGATATAGACATGGTTACTGTAACCACCATTCAACTTGGGCTCTGATCACAAGCAACTGACCAGAGACATCAGACCAAAGAAATGGAAGGCACCACTGTAAAGGAAAAGCACTTCCAATGGAGAAGAGGATTTTTGCACTAATCAACAACATCCTAACTTATGCCACACTTTCCTCCCTCTTTTAATTCAAAATACACCAAGTAACTGTCTCCATTCCAGCTGCTAGTATTCTAAAAAGCAACTATTAAGTGCCAAGGAGGGGATTTGAAATGTATACACTTAAGTGTTTTACCTTGAATTACGTTATCCCCCAGAGAGAAAAGATGCAGTGAAGTTGGTTCCAAACAAACCCAGCCTGCTGAACAAGCCCTTGTGGCCCAAGCTGTAGCCATTTGTTTGTATTATGTACCCAATTATGGCAACAGCAAAAGCAGTATCTATTAGAAAAGTAGCGCAGGTGGGAAGTTCTTGTGCAGCAACTCAAACGAGGAAGGGTTAGGACAGAGAAGTCTTTTTGTTACGTCTTCTGTCTTTTGTAGCAGTCACCTGCCAAGAGAGGCTGTAGAGAAGCAAAATTACAAGGAAGAGCAAAATAGGCTGCAGGCATCCAGCCGCGATGTAGCATGGAAGCTACTTTTACAGTAATCTGCTGGCTTTGATGCTTCTGCACTCACCATACTGCTAGCAACTGAAGACCTGGTTTCTGGAAAGCAGAAGTTAAATAAATGTCAAATAGTAATTTCAGGAGGTTCCGCTCAGTGGGCCCTAGCAGTGCTGTCTAGGAGGCCTAATGTCCTGGCAGCTTGTGAACACAGCGCTCTAATGCAGGGTGTTAGAAAGCCTCTGACTGCAGAGGCCATAGAATTTCAACGACAAATTAAAGCTTTGTTCCTCTTCAGTTCAACAAAAGAACTACTGCTATCAAAGGGAACAGAAAGTCATTAACAGCTGACCACAGCTAAACCTTCAAGAAAGTGAAAGAATTGCTAGAGTTCCCTTTTTTTACATCTGAAGGAAGTTAAGTAAGTGAGAGCAATACAGTGCCAGCTAGATTTCCTCAGTGATCTTCACTGCAGACAGCGTGTTAAAACTAAAGTGGAAGTTAGAAAAAAGCATGGAGATTGTGGGTCACTCTTAGGCTAGAGGTGTCAATTTAAAAACAAAGACTTCCCTTAAGGAAAGGGACTGGTCTTTCCATTAAGTGATATTCAGCCTTGTTTTGTCCTCTTGCTCGATTTTTTTTCCCCAACCTTCTAAGTGATGTATGTTACAGATGTGAGCAACTGGCAATATAAGCAGCAGCATGATTTCTCCTGTACAAAAACATCTGAAGCCCTGAAAAAGCAGGCAAGGGAGTGACTGCTCAGAGACAAGCAGGTCACAGGAACATCATATGCTGAAGCTCATAGCAATGAACTGCGCAATAAGCCTTGAGAGGTCCCTGATCCCACACCTCACTAAAACCTCTGAATCCACAGCAAGCAGAACTACCCTTTGGCTGCAGATAGATTGCCTTCAAAGGAAAACCAGGACATGCCAGCCTCCTTCCTTCCCAAGGGAGACAATCTGCAGAGGGCCTACTTGGAGAACGCTTGCTTCACCTGTTTTAAAAAGAATTGGCAGGTGAGACTTTGGTGGGTCGGGCTCTGTCTCATCCTATGAAATGCGAGGATTAATGCATACATCAGCTACAGTTTGCATTTCTACAAACTGCTGAATGGCTCTAAGGGTGCTGGAAGTCTATTATGGTAGAAGCAGGAGCTAATTAGCTATAGCCACAGTTCAGGAAGAACAGTTAGCTTAAAGCTGATGCTACTACTGCCTGAAGGATTTAGGGCAAAGCAGTATGTCTCACCTAGAACCCACAGTACCATTCTTGGATTTAGCAGGACGAAAGGATTACTCTTACAGGGATAGCCTTCCTGGAAGGAACCACTGGCCCTGCATGAACTGAATCCTAGTCTTTCCACAGCACAAGAATGAGAAACACCGTTCATCTGGTTTCACAGCTTCTCTGCTCAGGGAAAAAAAGAAAAAAAAAAAAAGGCTTGCTGTTAGACAGTGCTTCTGTCTGAATTGCTGTGCCAGTTAAGAACACCAAGCCCTAAAGGAACTGCTGGCAAACTGCAAAGCTGGTCCAGCTGAAGAGTCACATACTGCTCTTGGTCTCACGTAAAGCCAAGGAGAGCGGCAGGCAGTGCTGAAGGCTGCGTGACAAAAGGAGGCGCAGAGGCTCAGCAAACAACATTAAAGCAAAAGAGTGATAAGTACTACCTGCTAACAAAGGAAGGGCTAGTGACATTAGTTAAAGCATACTTATTGAACCCAATCCTGCCCAGCACCATCTGAGCTGAGGCTGGAGAGCGTAGCAACTGCAAGGTGGCTCAGTGATGTTGGCCCCTGTTAAACAGGAGACCGTCTTGCTGGTTTGAAGATTTTGAACCAAAGCAGCAGGTGTGACGCAACTGAAAACCAGAGGAAGTGGAAGGAAGGTTTAAGTAGAGATGGTGCTCTTCTCCAGCTATGAGATGGGTAGGTACAGTCTTTGCCAGTTTATACCACCTCAAATGCTGGAAGTGAAACTGTGCTGCTCCAGTAAGTAAAGTCTTAAGATCCTGTAGCACCCCCTTATCCCAAACTTGCTTCTGTCATTGATGAGGAAGGGTGACTTTATTCCAACTCAGCTGCTAAAAGTTGGGTGAGGGGTGTTTAAAGGAGTCCTGGTTTTTATCATTGGTTTGACTGTCCCTACCAATAAACGTGGTAGGACAGGAGATGTTTTATGAGACTGGGCCACTAACAGCCTGTGCTGAAGCTCTCTTCAGGCCCCAAGCAGAGGAGGAGATGATAGGAGGGTTTTCAAGTCAAGTCTTGAGAGCTCAGCTACAGCATTTCACATTGGTCCCCATCAGACAAAGTGCTTTCCTGAAGTTGTCAGCCCCCAGGTATCCAGGCTAGGCCAAAACCTAGCTATACTGGCAACAGTGAGGATTGGTGCAAAGGTGCCACTGGTCCTATCTAAACAAAATAAAAAGACACAAATGAAAGAGAAAGGGGAGACAAAAACAAACAACAACAAAAAAACCTGGAGGAGGTACTCATTGGCAAGTTGAGGGGGAGAAAACAAAATCACATTTTGTTTTAAAATTATAAATATTCTCCATATAAAGTTATTAAATAAAATTAGATCCATCCAGTGGCTGTGGTGAGTTCCAGTGATCCTCCTAAGCAATGTCTGGTAGTCTTTAAAAGTGATCTTTGCTCCTCATCTCTCTTGCCCTCAGTTTAAGTGCAGCAGGGGTTGTCAATGACTAGCATAACATCAATGCCATACACTTCCAGCAGGTCCATAAGGAAACTTCGATCCCCTTGGGGATCCAGGCCCATGCCTCGTGCGTGGTCAGCTGTCAGGGTCTTGTCCTGGCTGGCCGACACCTCCATCAGCGTCTGAAATATGCGGTTGTTCTGCTCCATGAAAAACCTACAGGATAAAGTCAGCTGAGATGATGGCACACCAAATAGGCAGCAGAGCCCCAGAACTGCATTTAACCCCCTTTAATCGTAGATCCTTGTTGGGTGACACTTGAGTAGTTTTCCGTCTACCCTATGGATGACCCAGAATAAACAACGATAAAGCAGTAGCTTGTAATTTACAGTGGTAATTGTGTCTGGCCAATTTATGGTAGGCATTTCACTCTGCAGAAGCAAGCCACGTTGCTAATGTGTACTTTGTGGTAACCAAGTGGGTACATCAGACCTACAGCTCCCATAATGCAAAGGAGACAACAGTGTCGTCACCCATCTAGTAACCCACTGGGTAAATAAATTCTCCATTACTGGCACACAACACAGCAGTGAGAGCTACTTCTTACCTAGTGCTTTCCTAGGAACTAGTGTGCTCAAAAAGAGCTGTGACTACAGCAGAACAGCCCAACAATCAGAGCTCTGATCCCAGCTTCACCCCATTGCTTCCCACCTGCTGCAGACTGTACAACAGCAACAGGCAGTGAAGGTGGTTGAGGTGTGGTTTTCATCTAATTCCCTACCTCAGACTTTACACCCAGTTCTGGTTCCTCTGTTTGCCAACTACAAAGCCAGCCACATCAATGGGCCAATCCCATGCAGGTCTTCTCTCCACCCTGTACCTCCCCCAGCATGGGACAGTGCCTGCTTCCCACAGCATTGTCCTTTCCTGAGGCAAATGTTCTGGCATGAAAAGTCCTATGGTTCCTATGTTTTCAAAAATGGGAAGGGATTCTTGCAATTCTAACTGTGTTTTAAAAACTCCTTTCTCCTTCCAGCACTTAAGAGACCTGAGTGAAGATTAATATGGCTTCATTTGGCTTCTCAAATTGAAAGGAAATGATCTGAAGATTAAGAGACAGTTTGGTTCATGGATCCCAAGGGGAAGACAGCTGACTATGGAATTAACATTAACCACTGTGTTTCATAATATGCCAAACCAGTGCAACATGAAACCAGTGAAAGAGGCTCCCTAAACCTAACAGTGAGCAACTAAGTATTGGAGGAAGCCACTCACAAGATGAAAAGGTCCTCTTCACAGGAGCTACAGTCTTCACCCACTTCTTGAGAATACATTAACATCTGCCTGAGAGAAGAGAGACAGATTAAATGCACATACCTACAGTGAACCTCAAAGCATTAGGAGAAGACAAGGATTACAACTAAAAACTTCACATCCATTTCTTGGAGACAAATCAGATTACCACTGTTGCCCCGATATCTGAGGTAACAGGGTAGTCTTGATAAGATACTGGGCTGGGAATCAGACTGTGCTTTCGGTTCTGCTCCTGATCAGTGGTGAACGAATGGTGAGTCACAACCTCTGCTTCTCTTCCTGCCTTCTACCTGCTCCATCAGCTCACTGGCAGAGGGATCATATGTGTGCAGAGTGCCCGTGGACTCTCATACTAATCAGTTACAGCGAAACCAGAATCTCGAAGAGATGAAGCAGTGGGAAACTTTGAAAATAGTAAGACAAGAAAGAAAGTACAAAGGAGCAGTGTCCTCCTCATCCTACATTGCACTGCTCTCCTATTAGGGCCACCCAGATGTCTATTATTACCTCTGATCATTGAGCCGTCGGTACTTCTCCTTATCAGCATTGTTAATTTTCAGGAGTGGTTGCAGATGTTCGTGATGGGTCTTCACGTTCTGGTTGTCCACATAGACATCATAGAGATCCCGTTTCTCCTCAAAGATCTTTTCTGTTGTACCTGCCAAAATCAGAGAAGATTTTCAGAGTAGCACGTTGCTGCTTTCCCCGCAGACCAACTGTTCTCTCCTGCTTTCGTAGTCACTCCGTGCACATCCTATTTCTCATCAGTTTTATGCCACACTCTGGTGTATCAAGACATTTTGCAGCCTGAAGTTAAAAATGTCATGCCTAATCCATCATACTTACAGGCCACGTACGAGACTTCTGTCTCCAGCATTTCTATGTCTGCCACATTCACATAGAAGAATGGTTTGGACTCTGGGACAGTTCCTCCAAGACCAGGTAGAGAAACATTGGCAAGGCAACAGCAGCAGTACACTGTGGACAAGAGAAGTACATCCTGAGATGCTTTCAATATTCCTTTCAAGGGCATTCTGAACCCCGCTTAACCTAGTTCTGCATGCTTCTATGAAGACAATGGCTATAGCTTTGAAATGCCCCTGAACACCAGAACTTCTCCAGTGGGGACATCCCTTTTTGGATAGCAAATAATCAGTTCTCCCATAGGAATCCCATGTTCTAGATCCCACAAATTCATTCAGTACCTTATTGTCCTGTGTTGACAGGAACTGTGTTTGACAGTGCCAGGAATCTCCTTATCCTAAAGGCCTGAAGAAAAGCATTTTGTAGGAAATGGGTAAATGCAGGCTGAAAGGTATCTTCGCAAGGAATGGCTGTGATGGATTTTGAAGATCTGTACGATGTCTATCCCCTCAGTACCCACAGGCTTTTCTGCAGTGCTTCAGCCTACTAGATGAGAGCTCTGCGGTGTCCCTGGAAACGTACCTCTATAGCAGACAACTCCAACTGGGGGCGGTGAAAATATCAATATGCGCTTGCGCAGCAGGGCAAACTTCCAGAGGACAAGGATCTGCTCCCCGAAGAATTTGATGAACTGAGACATACAGCCAGCAGGGTGTGTGATCTGCAGGTGGAGGGGAAGGGAAGAAAACAGCTCAGAGGTGACACAGGGACACGTGCACAGATGCTAAGTCTAAATGTGGGAGCAAGACCAGCACACAGCAACGAGAGAGCACTGCAGCTTGTAACAGCCCAAGTAGCAAATTCTTCTCTAAAGCAGCCTACCAAGCACTGGAGTGTCTGCTTATATAAAGAAGTACAAGACACCAGCAAGGAGCAGCATCAGTGCACTGCACGTTCCTGCAAGCCTCAGAGCCCCTGCCTCACCTTCATCTCCGGGTACATGTATCTGTGGATGGATGGCAGCCAGTGGACAGGTTGCTGAGAGGTGGGGGTGCCCTTGCCGTCAGGGAGAACTCCTTTCTTGTCATCATAGAATGCCTCTAGATGGGAGTAGTGCCCTGGCATCTCCAGCTGGTGTCTGGAAAAAAAAAAGGGAAAAGGTGACTATCTGTAGTGTTTCCAGACTTTATGTATTTAGTGCCTCATTCCCAGCCAACATCTTCTTTCCTAGATAGCAAAGGAGCCTGGGGTGCCTCAGATGCACAGATATATCCAGGAGTGCAGCCAAACCATCAGGAATAACACCAGCCTTCAGTGCAGCCAGAGCACAAGGCAGGACTGAAGGAGAGAGCGAGCTGATGCACGCATGGGAACTGTTCTAAACTATGCTCAGGTAGGAACAGCTTTCCCTTCTCCCACTCCCTTAGGAGCCTTTTGTGAGCCCTTACTAAAATGGTTTTCAGAAGGAGAAAAGAGGAACTTCTTGTCCTCTCAACTCTCCCCTTGACACTTCTGTCCCCACAAAATAAGTGGGGTTTGGATAGCATTTGACTAGCCTGTTAGCAATGAACAGAGACTGCTGCTAATAAGTTCCTATTTCCTTCCTGTTGTAAATCTTTCTGGAGAAGCTGTCATTTAATGAAATCACAAGCTGAGTGTTGTAGCCCAGTTCTCACTTGCACCTAAAACCACTCTCCATTGAGGCAACGTTGCCTCTCCCAGGCAGGGAGCAGCCGGTCCCATTCCCAAGGGGACTTACCTGACCTGGTTCTCCAGGAAGTGCATGTACCGGTAGAGCAGGGTGTAGGAAGGGGAGAGAATCCCCACAGACTTCATGCGGGCACCACGCTCTAACTCACTCTCCACAGGCATGTTGGCAAAGCAGGCCAGGCCAAAACACAGCCCTTTCCGGAAATAACTGGGGACAGACGTTGGACAGAAAGGTTAATGTTAAAAAAGGGGCGGGGGAAGAAATAAAGGTAACCGACCACTAAAAATACCATTTGGGAACAGAGTTCCTTCTTTAGGGAACCCCCTGAAATCCCACCCTGCTATCTGAAGGGTTGAGGGCAGGCCTTGGGTGTCCTAGGGTGTCCTAGCCTTCTCAGGAAGAATGCAAGACATTTAAGACAAGAGTTGTCAGTGTCTCTACCACTAAAGCCCCTACCAGCAACGTCACGTTCCTGATAAAAGACGCAAGTAAGGAAAGAACTTGGAAGGAAGACCAACAGAAGATGCAGGACCCAGTGAACCCAGTGCCCTTCCTCCAAGGAGGAAAGGTGCCAGCACATGGAAGCAGACTCTAGCCGAGTGCAAGGGTAAGTTCACATGCCTTTGAGAAAGTAACTGTTACTTCTGACCAAGAGGAATTGCGACACTGCAACTCATTGCAAAGCATTGCTGCCTTGCAACACCGGGTTCCTAAAGGGATGGGAAGGGAGAAAATTCCTAGCACTGAAAGAAGGAGCTAGCGGAGAAAGAAGTGAGCAAGAACTGTTTATCACAACATTTAAAGAATCCAAAGGCACTGGCAGAATTAAAAGCCTTTTTCCCAGTCCAGTTCCTGCAAAATCCTTCCCGTTTGAGTTCTGCCGTTCTCTCCCTTCACCTAGGCCTCTGCTGACAGTCCAGCTGACCTTCACCTCCAGAGCTGTCATAGGGCAGATCCCACACAGCCAGCTGGTACTTGATATGATGCTGAGAGTATCTGAAGAGTGTCTTTGGCTCAGATAGATAGAGTTTAGCAGCACGTTTATGCAGGAACTTAATTTGATAGATGGTGTTTTTTCTTGCATGCTCTGAATTAAGGGATGGTGGTGTAGATGTATAGCTAAGAAGAAGTAATGTAGCTCAGACATACTCACATGAAATCTGACTGGATTTTGTGGGACCCACTTGCCATGGATTTGAATTCCACACCTTCCAAATCAATATCTTGGGGTAGGCACCACTCTACCATGTTGCCTGCAGAGAAGCAAATTTAATTGAGTTAACATGGACATAGTACGCATTTCTAAAGGTCAAATGCCAGCATCAGCAAGTTGGTGCTTTTCCATCACTGGGATGCTAGTAACGGTGCAGTAATACAACTCCTGAACTCCTAAATTGTCCCAGATGGTAGCTGACATACTATACTCCATATATTTCTTGCAAACGTTTCTTGTTGCAGCACAACACCCAGATATTGCAGAACTTTTTGAGCCATTTCTGAAGCTATTGCTATTTGTGTGGGTTTATCCTTTATAAGCTTAATGACAGAGCAGCTACAGTTTTAGCTGACAGAGCATGAACTAGGGTGTTAATGCTCTTCCACTCAGACTGTCTGCCTGAGTATCTGATAAGAACCCAAAGTTGCTGCTCTTTAGGATGGGTTTCTGTGATGGCTCATGCCACCATCAGCAACCTCCTTTGTCTTACATTTGGCAGGGCTGGTCAAACAGAAACCCCTAAGCCAGCGTCCCAATCATCACAGCTTCTCCCTGGAACCTCTTAGGATTACTTTAGGATAGGAGGAGTTAGCTTGAAGCTTTATATGGAGGCTGAGGTCATCCAAGTACTGCAACATGTTTGTGCATGCTACAATAACCAAACAAAAAAGCACATAAACTCCAAGCTAGATCAAGATTAGCAAACATCTGTCACCTGCCAACCCAGCCAGAAAGCATGCCGTTGTTCAGTGGAAAAGGCCACCTGAGAAGCCTGATCCTGGGACAGATGGTATCAGAGAAGTCACAAAAAGTCCCTAAAGCTGATGAGATCCTGCCCTGCCACTGGCAAGTTTACCAAGGACAAAAAAGGGGAACTTCTCATGCTTTTCCATGCCAGCATTTCAGAGCCTAACCCGCTCATCTGGACGCTCCCCCTGCACTGAGATGTGCTCCAGGTTTACCCACCGAGTTCCTGTTCTCTCTCAGCCTGCCCATAGCAACAGCATTTGAAGGAATGTGACTTTGGATTAACAACAAAGCAAACAAGCATCCCTCAATGTAATGCAGTGGCAGATGCACCCTGAAGATGCTTTGGGGTGAGCATCCCAGCTGTGCTTGCACGGACGAGCGTACATTTGGAAGGGCCTTACACGCCGACGAGACTTTTAGGGCTATTTCAGCATGAGGCCCCATTTCTGAAGCCTGTCTGTTGTGTCGTTACTCATACTGCACGAGTGTATGCATATGCACTCTCACACAGGCATTGGGCTTAGCTGCTGGCATTTAAATAGGCTATTTTTCTTCTCTCATACCGTATTCAGCAGACCTCCCCCAACCCTGCCTGGCAAGGACTTCAAAAAAAAAAAAAAGAACAAACCAGAAAACAACCAACACCGTTAAGCGTGGCAACAGGAGAGGTTTTTGCATCCAACTACCCACTTCCAGTCCACAAGCAGACCTCTCTGGCTGGGGAGCCAGCAGCAGCCTGGTGACCCCAGGCACGGCTCTGTGCCATCGCAGGCCAAACCACACAGCTCCTGCTGTAAGTGCCTTCCTCCCAGGCGTGTGGAAGGCTGGCAGGGACAGCCAGTGACATCATGCCAGCCCGCGCGGTCCCCTGTAGGTTTTTGCATATTATATATAGACGTTGGCTTTTGTTGTTTGGGGGGGGGGGGTGTTGTGTGTGTGTTTGGTTTTTTCTTTTTAAAGGCACAAGACCCTTCTTTGAAGGAGCAAGGAAGTCAACTCTTAAGACTGTTGCCTCTTAAGCACAAAACCATGTGTGAAGCCAGATCTGCTTTTAAGTCTTGCATCGCCGAGAATCACTTATTGATCATTACCAATAGGTGAACAGATCAATATGCAAGAGCCCCATCCAGCACAGGAAACTGTTTGACTTCGTTCAATTTAGTCACAAACACGACCGTCAGGGAGAATGTCCACCACAGAGGTGTTGAAGTGGACACGGCCCGAAAAGTGCCCGTTCTGCAGCAGTAAGTCAGGAAAAGCCACCCTGGAACAGATCCTTACCCTACGCGTAACCACAAAACCGAGTCACATCTCACACAGCTATGTTTGGTTGGTTTTTTTTTTCCCTGGGATCTGTCACAAGGAACCCACACCTGCGCTCCTGGCAGCTCCTCACGCCACCTTGCCCTATGGACGTACGGGCGACGTGGCAGCCGGAGAACAAAGGCAAAAAAAAAAGGCAGAAAGTCAGCGTGGTGAAACAGTGGAGCAAACAAAGGAGAGACTTCAGCTGCGATAGCGACTGCCAGCCTGCCCGAGGAACCGGAGGAGGGAGCGATGTTGTAGAAAAACAGGAAGCTTTGCCCTTCCCCACACAGAGAGCAGCTCTCGTGCGCACGGGAAAGTTTCCAAGTGAGAGTCACCCAGGGTTAGAGAGCGGGCAAGTGGTTTTGCTGACAGAGAGTCAAATCTGCAGATCTGGAGATGTCTCAGGAGCTATCTCCCAGCTCCAGGCTAAGTCAGAACCAGCACTCTCAGTTTCTGGTGTGCAAAGTTAAGAATATTCTCCCTCTTTCTGTTGTATTTTCTCTCCCCTGGATTTTCACATCCTTACAGGAATGATGACGGCACTAGAACTTGGTGGTCATGACCTAGCCCTCCTCACCATTAGATGTTTCCCAAGATCTTTAGGGTCCCCAGCTGTGCAGTGCCAGGACACTAGAAGCACCAAGTGTGACCTAGGCGTCACACCAGCTCCACTTACTGCCTGGAAGAAATGCGGGACAGAAAAACAGCACATTTGCATGTTCATTGGTGCAAAACGGTTTACTTCCCTCTCTTCCCTCCTTGTCTCCCTCCACTACTCACATCACCCTTTAAATCAACACTTTGTGGGACCTCCACAAGGTTGATTATCATCATCTCCATCACCGAAAAAGGGCCAAGAAGGTTCAGCCTCTTTTCAGCCTCTGATCTGACAGAGTTGATGTGGCCACGGACTTTCCTTCATCTTTATCTCCCTCCCAAAGCAAAATTTATCATTCTACTTTTTTCACTTGCTTTACCCAAGACAAGTGTTAGTCTTGGAAAGCACACGTGCTCCAACCTAATGCCCAGTAAGTCACACCTACCAGATGTGTCCCCATGGTTGTCCAAGATAGTGTTGGGTCTTCTGTCCTACCTGCCCAAGGGAACACCTGTACTTCAGCAGCCTCGTTAAAGCCCCTTGTGACGATGCTCTTTAAGGGGCAGTGTTTTCACAGACCCAGTGCTCACGCTCTTTGAAGTGTCAGAGCATTCCCAACTCGTCGCTCCCTGAAGGAGGGGACTGCCAAGGGGCAGGGAGTAATGACAAGATGGCACGGTTGGCTCCTGGGCTGCCACCATTCTGCACTTCATTTACAGTTCACTTTCTGCATTAGTGCAAGAACAGTCATCATAATAACGGTGAAGAGAGCTTCTCAAGTGCACAAGGTTCACCAGGCTGGAGGTGAGGACAGCGGCACTGATTCAGAAGCTGCCTCTGGCTCTTATGTTTGTCCACTCACACGAGCATCATCAGAGTCCCAGGGACACTGAAATCCTAACAGTCACCTGGCATGTGATGAGTTCCCTTCATGAACTCATCACATGTAACTGCTAGATAAGCTGAGCTTGTCTGCTTCAAGCTCTTCTAAATTTAGGAGGGAAGCTGTTATGTTCTTTATTAGTGTATTCACCACTTCAGCTGAGAGTAAAGCATCCCTGCTTGCCTGTATTTGAGTAGACATGAGTTGGTATAACTACCTTCTGCCTTTCACGTGCCTGAGCAAGCTACCAAAGGAGGTCCACTGTGCTTTTCTTGGGCAGGATCAAGCAGGTTTCCAGCTCAGACACTGACTGGGTGATCTCCTCTAAGTCACACACAAGAACCATGTACCGTTGTGAACGTTAGAGAGAAGTCCCTCACACCATCTGATGAGATGGACCCAGGAATTCCCACATGCTCTTCCTGACCCTTGTGAGTTCACACCACTGCAGCTTCAAGATCTTTTTTCCAAGTCCACATCCTCCATAGGGCACTTTGCCCTCCACTTGTGAAGCTGACATTTGCTGATGTGTTCTTCACAGTCCCACCATGCTCCTTACGTTCAGTATCAGTGCTGAATAGCAGTGGGAGGTGAATCTTCCTGGACTTGACAGACTACTCCAAGGCTGCTGACACCGAGCATTAGCTGCACATCAGATGTGAGAAGAGCTGTTTCCCAACTTTCTCTGGACTTCATTCAAAGCAACAGCTGGTTCAGGCAAACTCCTGAGAAAGCTCTGCTTTCTGCCAACCAAGAAAATCTCACCATTTCATAGAAGGCATATGCTCTCAAATTGAAAGACAACCTGCTGTTGCTGCAGTCATCCGGACTCTTCCGTGTTTTGGATACTTATGAGAAACACCTCCCCTTTCCATCTCCTGTTGGAAAGATGACATCCAATCTTATTTTGAATTCTGATGAGTCAAGAGCCTCGGACCTCCAGACCGAAGACACCTCTCACTGGTGCAGTATGAAACAGGTAACTTCTCAAAAGGCTTTGGTGTTTCAGGCCACAGCAGCTGTGCTGTTCGGCAGTGTGCATTTCTGACACCACATCACACCTGGGGCTCCGTTCTCTTCACTGCTTCCTTGGGATTTTCAGTTCAAGACCGGGATTCGGCCTTCACTATGGGGGCCCTCTTGCCAGCATGATGTCAGTTACCTCCTCCTTCCACTAGAGAACCCCTCCAAGCTTCACAGAGCTCTTTCCTGCCTCTAGCACTTATGTTACGGATTTGCTAAGAGGAACGAGGACCTTGCTCCCACCAGATCCAGATGGGCTCCTGCATCTCCCAAGCTTCCTAAACTTTCCAATTGTACCATGACTTTCTGCTATGCCCCACTCTTGCCTCTGCACCCCAGGTTGGCGCCAGGCAGCCGAAAGACCCAACAATCTGTCTCGGGACATCAGATCCCTAAGCTTAGTACCCGTGTGAGCAGATGGGAGGTGGGTGCTAACTTTCTACCTGTGTCATAACATCCCGTTTCCTGGACGTGGCTGGAGCAGCAAGACTACGAAAACAAACCTAAGGGGTTTTCTGAAATGCTGATTTGCAGACCTGAAATGAATGACCTCTGTCAGTAAAAGAAGGGATGTGACACCAAAGTCCGACAGTGCCATGGCAGTGAGAGGTGGAAAACCCGTCCCCTTGCCCCTCTCCTCTGCCCTCCTGGGTTGTAGCACTTCAAAGCACCAAAGGTCCCAGAGATCCCACCAGAGATCAGCCTCTAAAGACACAGGTCACCAAGAAATCCATGCCTGAGCTGTTACTGCTGCTGGGGGTCATGCCCTGCATGTCTGCTGGATTCACACCTGCCAGACCCACCATCCCTCTCTGGGAGCTGCCGGCAGGTCCACGCCACCCCACAGAGGCAGAGGGATGCTCTCCAGATGCTGCTAACAGGTTGGTGCTCCCCCAGGCAGCGCTGGGCAGAGGCTGGGCCCGAGTCCTGGGTGCCCTACGGGTCCATCGGGGGTGCCCTGTGGGTCCATCGGGGGTGCCCCCGCTCCAGCCCCAGCATCCCTCTCCCGCGTCCCGCTGCGGGGCCGAGCCACCTCCGGCCCTGCCCGGCTCGGCGCCTTCCTCCTCCCGCCACGAGTTCTTCTCGGCGGGATGGAGATCAAACGCAAAGCTCCTTATAACTCCGTTTTTGGCATTCCCCCCCCCACCCCTGACTCCCGGTCCCCCGGCGATCCGCGGGGAGCCCGGCCCGGGGGGACCATGAGGGCGGGCAGTGAAGCAACGGTCTCCCGTGGAGGACGGGGGGGGGGCGCGGAGGGCAGCTCCGGTCCCGCAGGCCGCTTTCCACCGGGGGTCCGGGGAGCGGTACCCCGCGGGAGGAGGGATGCGAAGGACCGGCAGCCCGGCCCGCATCCATCTTCCGCCCAGCGGCACCGGCAGCCGCAGGCCCAGGCCCAGCCCGCACCACCACCCCCCCCAAACCCCGCACCGCCTCTCACCCGTGCGGGGGTCGAAGGTGACGACGAAGACAGCCACGATCTGATCCTCCTCCGCTTCCACCCGCGGCGGCTCCCCCGCTTCCGCCGGCTCTTCGCCGCCCCACCGAGCCCCCTTCCAACCGCCGCCGAGTCGCCGCCCGACGCCCGCCTCAGCCGGCGGCGGCGCCGACGCGGCGGGGCCCTCGGCCCAGAAGAGCAACGGCGCCTCGTCTCCCCGCTCCACCATGGCCGCGGCCCCC